CTAGGAGTTGGAGGTTGCTGTGAGCTGTGATGCCATGGCACTCTACCCAGGGGGATAGCTTGAGGCTCTGTCTTAAAAAAATAAATAAATAAATAAATAAATATAGAAAAACTAGCCGGGTGTTATGGTGGGTGCCTGTAGTCCCAGTTATTCAAGAGGCTGAGGCAGGAGGATTGCTCAAATGCAGGAGTTGGAGGTTGCTGTGAGCTATGATGCCATGACACTCTACCCAAGGTGACAGAGTAAGACTCTGTCTCAAAAATAATAATAAATAAATAAAAATAAAAAAATTAGCTGGGCGGCTCATACCTATAGTCTCTGCTACTCAAGAGGCTGAAGTGGAAGGATCACTTGAGCCCAGGAGTTCAATGCTGCACTGAGTTATAATCTTGCCATTACCCTCCAGTCTAGGTGATAGAGCAAGACCCTATCTCTAAAATACCACTACCACCACCACTACTACCACCAATTACTACTACTACAATTAATAATAATAATAAATATCAGTACAATCTGTTACAGTGACAAAAAGGAAATAAGCTCTTCCTACTTCAGCTCCAGCTAGTTTTTCATAATCCTGTTTCATTTTTTCCACCTCTGAAATGATTTGTTTACTTTAATTTTTTTTATTTTTTATTTTTTGAGACAGAGTCTCAGGCTGCTGCCCTGGGTAGAGTGCTATGGTGTCACAACTCACAGCAACCTTCAACTCTTGGGCTTAAGCGATTCTCTTGCCTCAGCCTCCTAAGTAGCTATAACTACAGGTGCCCGCCACAATGCCTGGCTGTTTTTTTTGGTTGTAGTTGTCATTGTTGTTTGGCAGGCCCAGGCTGGATTTGAACCTGCCAGTTCCAGTGTATGTGGCTGGTGCCCTAGCTGCTGAGCTCCAGGTGCCAAGCCTGATTTGTTTACTTTTTTAAAAAACCTGTTTGTTTACCTATTGTTCACAGGTGTCTGCTCCCCAGGAGGAGAAATCCCATTTGCTGTGTACCCAGCTTTATTTTAGGGGCCTAGCATAGTAGCTGTTATGTAGAAGGCACTCAGTAAGTATTTGTCCAAAGAAGGAATGAGGATGCCTTAGCTGTCTGGGTCAGTAAGTGAGACCAAAGCTTTCTGGCTTCCCTGTCCCTAGGCAGGAGTGCACGATGGATGAAGGAGAGGGGCCAACAGCTCACCCGTAGAAAGGAGTCCAGAGCGCCGTTCTCCATGAACTCTGTGAGGATCATGACTGGCACACTGTTGGTGACCACGCCCTCGAGGCGAATGATGTTGGGGTGCTCAAACTGGCCCATGATGGAGGCTTCACTCAGGAACTCTCGCCGCTGCCGCTCTGTATAGCCCCCCTTCAAGGTCTTGATGGCCACGCAGCTCTCCTTCTTCCCGGGGGCCTTGAGTCGACCCCGGCACACCTCACCAAATTCACCTGCAGCACAGATGCTTAGGGTCAGCACCCCTCACACCCTGGTGTGGCCCTGCCTGACCCCTACACCATTTCGGGGTACCAAGCAGTTTCTCTCACCTGCACCAATCACTTCTTCAATCTTGACATAGGAGACATCAATCTCTTTGGCAAATTCCCTCACAGCCTCATTAGGGTCTTCATAAGTGAAGGGGTCAATGTAGACCTTAGTACCTGGGGAATCAGGTAGGACTCCATTAGCCAAGAAGCAACTTCCATGGGATTTGGGATGATCCAGCTCTTGCCCCCGAGAGTAACTCACCATGCCCGATGAGATACTGTCCATGTTTATCTGAGTATTCTGCTTCTCTCCCATTGCTCTGCTTCCTATAGCCAGGGAGAAAGAAGTAAAAGGTAAACTGAATCATACATCTCTTATGTTTCCCCTAGAGGGGCACAGGGAAGGGAGGAACAGGGATCAGAAAAGATCCCAAGTGAACACAGGCTGGTGGGGTACCTTATCCCAGACCACATGGGCAGGTGGCCTTCTCCTCAGGGCTTCCATGGGCCTCCAGGTGCTCGGAGTCCTTACCTGAGGCAGAGAACTGCGATGACAATGACCACCAAGACCAGCACCACACCCACGACCGCTGTGCCTGCAATCAGGGCCAGCTGCTCCCGCCAGCTGTCATTTTCTAAGGGAGAAAAAGACTGCTGACCTGGGGAACCTGACGGTCTCTGCAGGCCCCAGCCCTGGCCTTGAGCAAAGAGTTGTGGTGTCCTGAGACTAGGCCCTTAGCACTTCTGGCACCCTACTCCTTTGAGCCAGCAGGAGGGAGAGGACAAAAGTGAGTTGGGGGGTGGAACAAGGGGAATGAACTGTTCTCCATAGGTCTGTCAGCTCCTCTGAAATCCCTCAGGGCAAGGGGAGATGTCTCCCAACCTTGTTATTGCCAGAGCAATTTGGATTATGTTCTATTATAAATACTGGTGTCCACAAAAGTCCTCATTTGAATGAAAATCTCTTCTAAAGGTGACACATTAAAAAGATCTATAGTCAAACAGTGGAAACAACCCAAATGTCCATCGACAGATGAATGATTAAACAAAAAGTGCCATATCCATACAATGGATTATTATTCTACCATTAAAAGAAATAAAGCATTGTTAACATGCTACAACATGGATGAAACTCGAAAACATTATGCTCATGAAAGAAGCAACCAGTCACAAAAG